GGCAGAAGTTTAAACTGAGCATCAGAATACAGAAGAAAGGAGATTTTAGGGACTTTGAAAGTATGTGGCACAGAGTATTCCACTGTGCGTGCGTCTATCTATCTATCCATCCATCCATCCATCCATCCATCCATCCATCCATCCATCCATCCATCCATCCATCCATCCATCCATCCATCCATCATCTGACACATGTTTGGGTTATTTAGAAAATACGGAGACATTTAAAATGTCTTTGTTTTAACTGCTCTCTAATAGTCATGAGGGAAACACAAAGTGTTCTATATAAAATAATACAAAAATATCTTCTAAGATAACATTGTTTAATGTTTCCTTTTTTGAGCCATTCCATAAATCTGAAATGTAACCTACTAGCAGTGCAAAACGCATAGTAACATGACTTCTTTGATCATATTGCTATTCAAAAAATAAATAATACATTTTGTGAGCATTTACAACAGAGAGTCCACGTTGGATCTGTTTTTCAACAAAGAGAATAATTAATAAGTGCTTTGGTTATATAAAACCAGCATAAAATGTCAAAATTTACATTGGAAATGTTTGGGCTTACGTCATGTGGCATGTTATCATTTTGAAGGATTCCATTTCTAAATCGTCTAGCAATTTAAAAGCATTGTTCACTGCTGACCTGATAGCGTTTTAGAGAGTAGAAACAAAACAGGAAGCTATATTACGGTCATTATTCTGCTTTACACAAAACAGTCAGGGTATAATTAAAAATAGAAAGCTTCTGTTAAAAATGAAAGAATAGAATGCAGCTATTATGATGGTGATGTGAGCTAAAGAAATGAAATTGGATAAAGCAGACTTACCGAGCCCACTGAGGGAGAAACACAGATCGGCTACAGGGAACATCTTGGAGGTGTCTACTCCATTTCCTCCCAGCAGCTCCACATAGTCACCAGATCCTGAGCAGCCTGGCCATATCTGTCTCTGATAAAGTACACACACAAAGTAAAATGACTACTTCTATGAAGGTGGATCATTTGCAGTTGATGTCCCTTGCTGTTCAATCTTGACGTTTGTTCCCATTTAAAAAATGTGAACAGTGTATACATTTTGGAAGATTCACAGAAAACTTCTGCTTCACAGCAGCACACATCCGTTTGGCTGTGATGTCACAGTTTTGTTTTGTTAAAAATGTTAAAAAGATGACTCAGAATAAAATTTTAATGCTGTATGAGTTGTCTGTTTTCTTTCCATGGTGAATAACTCTTCATAATTGCATTCCAGCAGTCTTATTTTTTATTGTCATGTCAATACTAGTGGTGCAGTTGTGTTGATTTTGTTGTAGTGACACATGTGTAGTGCACATTCTGCCACATGCATGCAAACTGACAGCTGCATACATGAGGCAGGATGTTATACATATTCACAACTGTAAAATATTTCTGTATAATACAGAGCCAAATGCATGATAATGCAATACTGGAAAAAAAGAAAATGTCATGAGTTACTTTAGATGAAATAAATATATTCAGGTGTGGGATTGAGGTATGCTAACCATACAAAAATCTGCGTTTTATCAAGCAGTTATATAAAAACAACGACAGAATCTATGCCTTGAATCCTTTTTTCCTTGGAAACACATTTGCTCCATATTCATCAGAGGAAAATCCATAAATTGAAAACTTCTCTAACGCAACAAGATGTTAACTTAAAAAGTTATGACATAAATGCTTAAATATCTGTTGAGTAATCAATTGTTAAAATGGCAGAAGCTGTAAAAGTTACTTTATTTTTGTAAATTATAGATTTGTGTGCAGTAAAAAAAATAAATAGTTAGAAACCATATGTATTTTCTTTCACAATTTTTTTCTGTAAGGATTTCAATGTATAAAAAAGGCAGTAATTCAACAGGAACAGTAGAGGTCAAGGCTTGATTGACTTTTGACTACAGAGGGTTTATGTCGTTTTTAATTCTTAAAACAAGTTACCAAAAAAAAAAAAAAAATGTGTACACCCAGAAGTACAGTAGAAGCATTATTTAATTCCTAGGCTCTGCTAATCTGGAGCAAAATCAGAGAAGAAGACAGAGAAAGTCAAAGTTAAAAGGTAATTCGTTTCAAACTGCCTTTGACTGTTGAAGTCAAACTATTTAATTAGGCATCATTAATTTAAGGTTGTGGTCCAACTGTTTTATTTGTTTTATTGTATGCTTTTATCATGTTTTTATCTTTACAATTAATCTGCTTTTTTAAATCAATTTTATTGTTTAATTCAATATATACAGTGTTTGGAAACACTCAATTTATCTATAATTAAGTGACCAACAAATCTTGAAAAGAACTACATATGAGTCAGTTGTGTTTTCAGACTAAAGGTCAAAATCTGAAAAAAGTGCATTATTTACAGGCACTAATAGGGTTTGTGAAATCTTGCAAGCACTGTACAAATGTCTTCAGATTTTGTAGATGCCTTACATGCCTAAGCAACATCAAAAACTATCAGCAACTCGTTACTTTGCCTTTGATGAATAGGGTTCGCTTCAAAAAGTAAATTAAAATAAATCAATTAAAACCTTCTGTTGAAGGTGTTTTAGCAAGTTTTTAAACAAACATAATTTGTTTATAAAGGACTCCAGTACAATGGCCAAGTTTTTTTTTTTTCTTTATCTCAAACTATTCCTTCATCTACAAGAAGTATTTCTGTCAATCTGAGTCTTACCAGCGGGCTGATCTCATTGTTTTTGGCATCCCCTAAGCTCAGATCCGTGAGTCGGATCTCCACTGGGTAGATGATGGAGAAGCTGCAGTTGCGGCGCTGGTGCTGTATCACCATGGTGAAACTGCCCTCTGGATTTTGGGACATAATGTTGCAGGCTTTGCACACACAACACACAGACACACATTTTACATGAACACAAACAGGAAGAGAGGTTTCAGATTTCAAACATTTCCATCATCACCTGAGAAACTCATCATGGATACCTTATGTGACAAATTGGACATAATCAGGGTGTTACCAGGGATGAGACAAGTTAGGATAAAACATAGCTTGAACCGGTCACAGTTTATTCACACTACATTGGAACAAGCTGTAGTCAAAACATTTAGTTAATTTATAAAAGATTAACTTAGAAAGTTTTTTTCCACCCACTAATATTAATAAGTGAGCGGATTACAGTCAAATTTGTATAAAATTTATGAAAGTTTAATTATAACTACTTTTACATTAATGTTGTTTACCTTAAAATGTTTAATTCTAATCCCCTGAAAGCAATCTTCATGGGATCTTTGCATCTTTGTCTAAATGATTATGTTGCTTGGCACAGTATTAACATGGTGCTCTTTAAGCTGCAAGAAAACAGGTGCATCCTTTTTATTTTTATTTATATGATTCCCTTATCATAAATTTATGCTTGATGGAGCATAAATGTCAAGGGAGAAATCAAGCACTATCAGAAACAATAAGGAAAATTGTAACACTATTTTTTATTTTACTATTAATTATACGGACATGACTGGATGACATGGATCAAAGGCATTAAATTGTAGATGTCTTTGGAATATTTCTATTTCTCAATCAAAAAAACTTTCAGTTACTACAACTTGTCATTACCCTTTCATATCAATGAAGCTTTTTCTAATTGAACTAAAGTGAATTGAATATTAAGTTGTTAAACTCACGGAAAGGGTTGTTCACTTTTTTAACAGCAAGGGTGAAGCCACTCTCAGGGCTATGAATGCGAAAAAAGATCATGGCAACATTCTGGGAGGACCGGCCGGAGACTGTTGATGCAGCAGACGAGCAGTAGTCTGTGTAGCGCTCGTGTGGGAGGAGAGGATGGTCATTGCTGCTGGGGAACTTCTCACCTTTCAGAACCCAGCCGTCAAAAATCTAAACCAAGAACAGATAGAGAATTGGCTAAGTATAAAGCAAGGAAGATTGTTGTCATAGGATTGATGATGCTAGAAAAAAAAATCTTTTAAATCTGAGTTGACATTAATTAGATAATCTTTATTTATGATAATGGATAAACCTAAATAAGGGTTGCAACATTTCGTCTCATTATTTTATATTCAGCAGGACATGAAATGAACAGCAGATGAGAACCTGTGTGTTGGACTTTAAACCATTGGCTGTTCACTTGAAAAAACTATGATTTAATTTACTGGCTGCTATATTGTCTTTCATTCAGCTGTTTTTCCGAAACCGTAGATCATCCCTAATCCCTATTTTGAACCCAAAGAGTCTAAACATGTTCTCATTCTTTCCCTCTGCCAAAAAAACGTTTTCCAGTTTTGCCTGCTTAAACCGAAACGGAAATGTTACTGGCAGCCTTGGATCCCCAACTGAAGCTGTTTTCCTCCCACATTTGCTCTTGGGAAAGTACAGAGGCTTTGCAGTGGTATTTTCCCCTCAAACGTTGCCTTAACCCTATTTGGATTTGTTTTAATTCAATAGAAGGTGATGAAACAGAATGTGTTGAACTTACTGCCCTTTGCTCAGAGAACAGAGGTTATTTTGGCAATTGCTTGAAAGCACCTTAATGAAGTCTCCAGCACTGCAGTCAATGCTGACGTCAGAGAGCTCAAGAATGATGACCTCACTGGGCTCAGCGATGATGAAGGCAGCACAAGCCAGCTGTGGCCGAGTTGCAACAAATGTGAAATAGCCTTCAGTTGCCAGCATGTCCAAGCATCCTTTAAAAAACACAGAGTTTCAAATACTTCAGAGCGCATTGTATTTATAAAATATCCCTATTTTCTGAGATGTTTTGCTGGGAATTCACAAGACAATGCAAGTCTTTGCAACTATTTTGACCTATTTAGGATATTTTCAAACTGGTTTCACGATTATTCATGAAATTCACGGTTTCTCTATAGTTTTGTCCCAGGTTTCAGTTGCCCTTTCTATAGCCACAAATACTATATTAAAAAGAGAGAAAAAAATTAATTACTTTTTGAAATTGTTTACTTAATCAGAGAACTCCTTGTTTGATAGGTGAGCCACGCCTCAAAACATAAAAAAATAGTTTGTTCACTAAGAAAACATTTCCAAATATATACAGCAGAGCATAAGTTCCTGTTTTTCCTTCCTATTTGCTATTAAAATATAATACAGATTTTTACCTCACTGTATATTTTGTCTTTCTCTTTTTGGAAAAAGCTATGTTGTTTAAGAATACTATGAAATTAGTTGTATTGATATATGCATATACTGTATATTGGCTTATCATCAGGTCAAAGAAGTAGAGGAAAATGTATAGGTTGGATAATGCATTTTGGGAAACAGTGCAATTAACAAAGTACCATACTATACGAATCAATAAAGAAATAAACAAAGAAATAAATAAATATTTTCTCAAATGGCACTATTTACAACAAAATTAAATAAGTATTACTTATCAATAACTTCCTTTTATTAACTGCAGTGCTTCATTGGTCTATATACTTCTTTTTATAGTGTCTTTTTACAGCCAGCTTGCCTATTAGTCATCTGACTGATGAGAGGGCTGATAAAAAAAAAAAAAAAAAAACACATATATATATCAATGTGCTGCAACATGCCACCTTGGAATAATTGAACGGCAAAATATCTGTCTCCTGATGTAAATCAGTTTGAAAATGTACATTATTGACATTTTACCATATTGCAGCATATTTGTGTATTTCTGAATGCATTTTGTAGTTTTTTAATAGACTTAGACATATCTACATTGTCATTCAGATTTGATTTGCCAAATGCATATCTGGACAAGATTTTGTTGTAATTCCTCAGAATGGGCGCAGAAACAAAACACCATAATCATCATAAAAAAATTTAGTTACAGAGTTAGGAATACTTTTTAATTAAATGTAATTCGGCAAGTTTAGAAACTCTTACTCTTTAAAAAAGAAAAACAAATGTTCTGAAGGGATCTTACTAAGAGGTCGGCGAAAAATAAAATCCTCTGAGTCTCTTTTCTGGGCCAAACTGATCAGAGAATACAATCCATCCGAAGCATCGATGTCCTGCATGGTACACACATAGTCATTATAACCAAACAAACGTTTATTCTTCAAAGTTTTTGTTAAAGACTGATTTATTTTAACATTTTCAAAGTTTGATCGTACCTCGATGTAACGAGTGAGTCCAATTCCAGATAGCAGGGAAACAAGACAGAGAAAGAGCTGAGCGCGCAGAGCCGCGGACATCCTTAGGAGCGTCTCTCCACAAATGTTCTCCGAAATGCAGAAGGGACTGAGTAACTGCGCAGCCTGAGAGTACGCAGCTTTTATAGCTGCACAAACAGAAAGGCAGGCCAACTTCACAGTCACCGACTACTCAGAGCAGAATTATCATTTTTAATCAGAAACTAGAAATAGCTGCTATTTAAACCCATGTTTGAGTATTACGTATGCTTGGCGGCTTGGAAACTAATGACAGTGGATGATTTGATTAAAAGAAAAGCGGCCTCATTAAAAGTCAAGACAAACAAACAGAAGTGCCGCTGTGCATTAGTTTTACAGGTCAATGTTTGGCTGTGTAGAAAAACTTGGCTAGGGTTGTTTTTTTTGTTGTTGTATTATTTGCGTCTATGCATATGGTTTGAAAAGAAATAAACGAATCTGCAAAGAGAAGAGAAGCTGATGGGTTACAATTTCAACTGCGGCAGTATCACGTGACTATAACTGAAGTATGCAGAGCAATAAGCTACCGAGCAAATAAACTCTGAAATGCAAAATCAATACAAGTGAAAACAAGTTAGCACGTGCGTTGTGTATTTTTGCAATATTCATATTTTAACACAACAGTTGTATTCCTTTTGGGGAATTCAGTTGTATTTACATCTAAATAAGATATCCCAACATGTTGTAAAAAAAATGTGTGGTTAATTGTATATATTGTAAAATATACTTTTTGTGCATACATTTGTGCAGTTCTTTTTAACAGCTGTGGCATTTTTCCTTTCACTGATTGAGTTCTGGGAAGCCACTCCATTCCGAAGTAGGCTCCCGATCTCACTCGGTCTGAAGGGATCATTTTAAGCATTGGGGGGGCACTTCCCCCTAGCTCTTATAACTATTGGGACACACTAACCTTACACATGAATGCACAAAATTGAGTGCTAGGGACCAAATGGGACTAGGTCTTTGCCTAATGCAGCATAACTAAGCTCAGGATAACCTGAGTCAATCTAACTACAAGCTTTATCAAAAAGGAAAGTTTTAAGCCTACCCTTAAAAGTAGACAGAGTGTCTGCATCACAGACTAAAACTAGTAGTTGCTTCCACAGGAGAGGAGCCTGATAACCTAAAAGATCTGCCTCCCATTCTACTTTTAGAAATTCTAGGAACCACTAGTAAACCTGCAGATTGAGAGCAAAGTTATACAAGTCCATTATCTGAAGCCATGAGAACATCTTTAGCGACTTTCACCAGGGCTGTTTCAGTGCTATGATGAGCTCTGAAGCCAGACTGAAACTCTTCGAAAAGTTCATTATGATGTACAGTAGGTGGCCACACACTTGTTTGGAAAATACTTTCTCAAGAATTTTAAATAAGAAAGGAAGAGTGGATATAGGTCTATCACTGACCATCTGGGTCAAGAGACAGTTTCTTAAGTAAAGGTTTAATTACAGCAACCTTAAAAACCTTTGGTGCATATCCCTGTAACAGTGAGAGATTAATCACATCTAAAATGAAGGACAAGATCAAAGGGAATACTTCCTTAAATAACCTGGTTGGAACTGGATCTAACATACAAGTTGAAGGCTTAGATGAATTAATAGTTTTCCTAACTTTGAAAGTTATTTTGTGTGTGATATATCTCTGTATCTAAGTAACTCTAACTGTCTAGAAGCTTAGCATAGTTATGGCTTCTCTCTCTCCCTCTCTTGACTCTTTTCCAACTCTTACTTCTTCCTCTCCTCTCTCCTGCTCTCTTTGTCAGATGTTCAGTTATTCCTCTGCCTCCTTTAGTGATAATGTTTGTTTAATAGGGCTGCTCAGTGAAACAGTGGGTAGCACTGCTGGCTTGAAGCAAGAACGTTCGATTCCCAGCCCTGGGTCTTCCTGCATGGAGTTTGCATGTTCTCCCTGTGCATGTGTGGGTTCTCTCCAAGGACTCCAGCTATCCCCCATAGTCCAAAAACATGACAAGGTTACAGGTTAATTGGCTTCTCTAAATTCTTCTTAGCTGTGAGAGTGTGAATGGTTAATTGTCCTGTTAGTCTCTGTTGCCTTGCGATAGACTGGCGACCTGTCCAGGGTGTACCTCGCCCATTGACTGCTGGAGATAGGCACCAGCACCCTTTACAACCCCAGCTGGGATAAGCGTGAAGGAAAATGGATGGTATGTGTTGTGTTTTTTAGCTTTGGAGGCGAGGGTGTCAGAGTTAGAATACAGCCTTAAGGCTTTTGAACATCCAGGAGTTAAAGTAGGCCCCCCCACATAGTTGTCCTCCAACAGTGCCTGAGCAGCCAGGCAATTGGATAACGGTACACAGAAAAAATAGTTGTGAATCTCTGCCAACTGGTCATCACCAACCAGTCCACATTTGTAACTGATTTTCCTCTCTCATTAACACACCCACTGAGAAGCCCACTCTGGTAATTGGGAGCTCCATAGTCAGAAACGTGGCATTAGAGACACCAGGGACAATAGTAAAATGTTTGCTGGGGGCCAGAATGGGCAACCTCAAATTCTACCTGAAAGCTGCTGGCTAAGGATAAGGTTAATTACAGTAAGATTATTATTCACACGGGCGGTAATGACACCGAGTTACACAGATCGGAGATCACTAAAATTAGTGTTGCTTCGGTGTGTAAGTTTGCCAAGAGAATGTGGGACTCTGACCAGTGATGACATGTTTAGTTGAATGTCATCATTCAACTGCTGATTGTTTAGGTGGTGTCCTGAAAGCAACATGAGCTACAATAATAATTGGCAATCCTTTTGGGGAAAGCCTGGTCTGATTCTGAGAGACGGCATTCACCCCACTTTTGATGGTGCAGCTCTTCTTTCTAGGAATTTGGCCACATTTATTAGTCCTCCAAAACCCTGACCACCCAGGGTGCAGACCAGAAAGCAGAGTCATAGTTTAACACACCTCTCTGCAGCTTCTCTACTGTTACCCACTCATTACTCGATCCACACAGTGTCTTGCCCATTACCAAAATGTAATAAATTAGAGGAGAGCATGAGAATCTAATAAAAATGAAAATAATTCCAATTGGGGAAAAAGTTTAAATTATTAAATGTGGTTTATTTAATATAAGACCACTTTCTTCAAAAAGTCTCCTAGTTAATGACTTAATTTGTGATAATCAGATTGGTTAATGTTGCCTTAGAGAAACTTGGCTGCAGCACAAGGAGTATGTGAGAAAAACTGAGGCAACTCATTCCATCCATCCATTTTCTTACACGGTTAATCACAACTGGGGTCGCGAGGGGTGCTGGCACCTATCTGCAGCTGTCAATGGGCGAGAGGCGTGGTACACCCTGGACAGGTCGCCAGTCCACCAGGTTTCTTACTCTGAATTTTTATATGAGTTTTCAGAGTTCCTCTCTGATTTGGTGTTGAATACTGAAAGTGTCATAATAGTGGGGAATTTTAACACCCATGCTGACTTTGAAGGTGATACCTTAAGTGCAGCCTTTAATGCAATCTTAGACACTATTGGCTTTGTACAATTCATTCTCATCTTCATGCTTTGCATGTTGTGCTGACATATGGCATAGGATGTGAAAAAATAACAGTATTTCCTCAGAACCTTGTCCTCTCTGACCACTTTTTAATAACCATCAGGATTACTTGAAAAGATTTCTCCTCACCCAAAAGACGGTTTAACTTTAGCAAATCATTATCAGAAAGTTATACATTTCAAAGAATCTGTTTCACTTACTCTCACCTCTGTGACGGTGAGCAGTGCTGCATAGGGAAAAAGTTTAGTTTATTCCCCTACACAGGTTGATTGTTTTGTTGATGGGGTTGCTAGTTCTCTGGGTACTGCCTTAGACAACACAGCTCTTTTGAAAAAGAAATACCTTAAAAATAGAAAGCTGGCTCCCTTGTTTAATGCAGAGCTGCACACTCTGAAGGAAAATGCTTGGAAACTGGAGAGAAAATGGCGCTCCACATGCCTAAGGGAATCCTACCTAGTCTGGAAAAATTGTTTACTGCTGTATAAGAGGACCCTTTGTAAAACAAAGGATATTTCTCCTCATTAATAGAGGAGAATAAGAATAATCCTAGATATCTTTTTAATACAGTTGCCAAACTCACCTAGAGCCATAGCTCTGTTGAACCATTCATCCCACCTGCTCTTAGGAGTAATGATTTTATGGGATTCTTGATAAATAAGATTGATCTTATTAAGAAATAAGATAATTAGCACTCCTCTAACTAACTGGAAAACAAAATATCTGCTATATTCCAAAGCCAGTGATAGAATCTGTGACATTCATGCAGAAGATAAATACAATTATTAGTTAACCAGCCACAATTTCTTCTGATCATTACAAACCAGAAGGACCAGAGTGTATTCATGAAAGAAGAAAATCAAGAATCCAACATCAAACCAAGTTCTGTGATGTAATTTAGTTTGCAACCGTATTCCAAACCAATTAGTACAAGACTAATTTTCCATGTTTGTGCTGTGTGTATGAAAGGTCAAACTCTGGTGCATCAAAGACTTGGAAATTATCGTTTTGTCAGTGTCTGTGCTCATGCATCCCATAAAACAGCACTCACTTTCTCAAATTTGTCTCCCTGTGTGTGCAATTATACACAGCTAATGATGGCTGACATTTTCTCCCGCTGATGAAGGTCTTTCAAGCCACACACAGGACTGTAAACCAGAGAAAACAAAGTTGTAATGAACACAATGAATGTATACTGGAACAGAGCCTCAGTCTGTTGTTTCACAATGCTGATGTTGACCTATTCAAGGGGTATTATTGTCCTCTTAAAAGCCAGTGACCACTAATTATAGTTAGTTGAACTACAGAGTCTTTGGTGTCAGAACCTATTAGTTGCATATTTTGTTTTTGGTAATCTTAAAGATGATAGAATATCTGAACATCTGAAATGGTAGTGCAATGCTTCGTGATGTTTGTGGAAATGTACATTTTATGGTATCTTATGAGATTTGTATTTATGCTTTGGCAGTTTCATCAAATGTCACGCATTAGGTTGAGCCTTTCTCACCAAAGTAATACAACAAGGATGTATTTCATTTGATATGTAA